AAGTCAAGATGTTGTCCAATGTTGCGCTGCAATAACCATCCAGGCCGGATTAGTACCTCCAGGGGCCCCTGGGCACTGAGCACTCATGGGCCCCCCCGAACCCACGTACCAACAAGTAACACCACGCCTACCCAATCCTACCAACATGACCAATATTTAGAATTTTCAGTTAATGTGGCATGTCTAATCGCACACCTATTTTTCAAAAGCAGGGACACAGCCACATAGTTCAACCAAATTAGGTCTAGCCTTTTGCCCTTTCAGTCAAAAATCACAAGACAAAGATACGTTACATTACATGTTACTTGTTAGACGCATTTATCCAAAGCGACTTACATACTCAATACTGTGGGCAATCCCTACAGGAGCCATTTGGGGTGAAGTGTCTTGGCCCCCCCCAGACCAAGGCTCTATCTACTGCGCCACACGCCTCCCACAGATACAATGGATAAGATCTCAAGACAGTGTATGACTCAAGAAGACCTAGGTAATATCACTCGAAACCTCAGAGCAGCACCCCACTTAATGCCAACATATGACTGGCTGGCTGTATAAGTACACAAGGAGTTCTATTAGTCACAAACATTGAGAGTTACAAATGTACAATATGTAGTGAAATTGTGTGGTTGCTCAAGGGTGGGGCTTTGATTCGGCTATACACCTCCGCCGCGTAGTAAGAAAGTTGAGCGCATACATAGTGAGACCTACAGTACAGAGATGGTTTAGAAAATATATTAATTTTACCCAATAGAAAAGCTGTGTTATGTATGCTGAAGATTGAGTGTCATTTAAAACAATGTATGATGAGTGAGGTTGTGCCCGAAAAAAAAAAACATATATATATATTTTTTATCTTGTCACTGAGGGCCCTCTTTGCTCAAGGGCCCCTGGGTACTTCCCCATGTTGCCCATATGGTTAATCCGGCCTTCGTCTAAAGTATAATGTTTGGGATTTTCTCACAGCTTACAGTAGCTCTTCAACTGTATTGCAGTTAACGGTCAGGTGGATTTGTTTGAATTTGTTTTCTTTACAGAAGCGCTGGTAAACAAAGTAAACAAGAGAGGACAACAGCCTTACTGGGATGTGAGGTAACGTGATGGTAACTTCTTCTCCTTTCCCAACTTGCAGCTCTCCCTCACAGCTCGTGTCGATGGAGGCTGGTTTGAAGTCATCTGAAAAAAGGACATTGACAATCTTATGTAGCAGCAAGACGGTGTTTTTCATATTTCTTAGGACAAAACCTTGCAAGAAAGTAAAATAAGTAACTCACAAAAAGCTAAATGCTTTGAGTGAATATGTACTTCTTATTTCTGTGTGAAACTATTTCTTGTTCATGCGTAATTCAATAGGGAAATACATTTTAATACCACATTATTCTGGCTAAAGTGCATTTCCAGCTACTTTTGATCAGGCAGTAATGATGTAAAAATGTCAGAAACAAACAACATATGTGTGACTTTCATTTTTAATAATGTACTTTTACCACACACGTTAATAAGCAGTAGTAATCCCACTTAAAGATAATTTGAGAGTTGTCTAAATATTATATACTATTGCAATGGATGCTGTAACGTTAAAGGAGTGGGTGTGACGATCTGTTTTTTATGCAAATTACTTAATTTACGTCTCGCTATAATTAGCCATGTTATGTAAGAGCCTCCCTGTCAATGTCAGCGGAATAACTAAAACACATCAGTCAATTTCACAGTGTTGTTGTTGTTGTTGTTGTTGTTGTTGTTGTTGTTGTTGTTTCTCACTCACATCTGATAGTATGAAAGGAGGATTTGGGCCTCTTCTCGAAGCTCTCCCCCAGCTTCAGGACATGCTCCTCTTTGTCCAGCAGCGGATTGGTGCTCCCGTTCATATCTTGGTTTATTACAAATGTTAAAAGTCCAGCAGTGTGTGTTTACTTCAGAAAGATCAGAAGAAGGAGCAGTTAGCCTCCTGTAGCTAACCGTTAGCACAACATCCCTTTAGCACCGCCTTTTCCGGATTTGGTGCGGCTAGGAAATATGACCGACAATAATGTACATGAAACAACTCTATTGTGTTTTAATTAAATGTAAAATATTTGTTGACAACTTCTTTTAACATAAAATGTGAAAACTACGTGTAGTGGATGTATTTTAATTGTTTGTAATCCAGTGGGTCATGGGGGGAACCAACGGAAAGAAATGGAATCAAATAGTTGACACGGAAGAATTTACACAACGGACAAGATGGACCTCAAATGTGGAAAAAAACATGTTTCTTTTTTTTGTAATAAGTTCATTTTAGCTTGATTCTTATCACAAACAACTGCATTTTTAACCTTGTGAATAATATTATTGTCTCATTAATTAACAAAAGGCAACTTTACTAAAGGAAACGGAGCATTAAGACTTTATTTCTTTCTAAAAAAAAAAGCATCATGTCGAAAAGTGAAGTTTTTCCTGTGGATATTAAAACAACACCTCCAGAAGAAGAAGTGGGACTAAAAGAAGATATTTCTCCGTGTGTTTTCGGGCAGAACAGAGCCTCCTCCTCCTCATCCTCCAGGCTTTTGACCCAGGAGGAGCCGGACACACTGAGCCGAGAAAAGGCTCTGGTGTCCGACTTCAAACTCATGAAGCTGGAGAAAGAAGCTCAGAAAAACTGGGACTTGTTTTACAAAAGAAACACCACCAACTTCTTCAAGGACAGACACTGGACCACCAGAGAGTTTGAAGAGCTCAACGCATGCAGAGAGGTGAGCAGAGGGGGGAAGTTACTAGGTACAATTCCTCAAGTGCTGTACTGTGTTGAGGTACATTTACTTGGCCTGAGTGTTTACACGTTACGCTACTGTGTCCTTCTACTCCACTACAGTTCAGAGGTAAAAGGTGTACTTCTACTCCACTCCATGTATTTAATACCTTTAGTTACTTCACAGATGTGGATGAATGATGTGAAATATAATCAAGTGTTAAATCAGACTTTAGTTCCACCTGGAGTAAATCCACAAGCTACCCTGCAGTATACAAAGTCATTCAAACTAGCTGCACCTTTACCAGCTTTGAGAACACTTTCATGATCAATCATTATAAAACATATCATATATATTATTCTGAAATGGACCAATCTGCACAATGACTACTTTTACTGTCGCTACTTTCACTAGATTTTGATGCTAATACTTTTCTAGTTTTACTTGAGAAACATTTGTATATTTAATTAAAACTATTACAATGTCAAGGTTTCCAGATAGCGCCATTGTTTAGATGACCTGTCAATCACTAATGTAAGTCCTTTCAATTCCAAACTTACTACTGTCAATGTTATAGAAGAAAGATGTGGGAATGAGGTTTAAAAAGTAAGGAACACTGCTTTAAAAAAAGGTTTCCTTCTTCATTTATAGCTGGGAAGTATTAATGCAAGAGACAGTTTTGTCATATGTGTCTGATCCACGAAGGGCAAATTGTTTTGTATCGCCATAGTGTTGAAAACCCAATACGATTGTTTGTTCAGGCAATGAATGAAATATTGAATTGAATGGAACAATTCAATAAATGGATTGCATTGTCAAACCTGATGATGATAATAGCCTACCTATTTATTATTGAAACAACAACACAAACGGTATCGTATCAACACAGTATCAGCAAAGTCATTACGGGGAGTTAACACACCACAGTAGCTTTAGTCTAAGCAGGCTATAGCTCCTACAATTAGAACTGAATAAAGTTATAAAGTCAACATTTGTCCCGTCCAGAGATGGCTAAAGTACACACATCCTTTCCTCAAGTAGAAGTACAGATACTCGTGTTTAAAAATACTCTGGTGAAAGTAGAAGTACTGACTAAACTTCTTTACTCAAGTAAAAGTAAAGAGGCTTTGAAATGTACTTCAGTAAAAAGTACCCATAACTAGCAGCTGTTTTAAAGAGTACCTGACCTCCCTTTATATTAATAGAACAATAATGTCATTGTTAGCTAATGAATGTTTCCATGGTGACCAACGGCAACATGACAACGTTTTCATTGGTCCCTCTTCTTTAGAGAAGACCAGGAAATGATGGATACACGGATCGTGTTCAAATCAATAGGCACGCAATGACTCTAAATAATAATGATCACGCCACCAAACACACATTCAG